AAGCATATTCCTTAGGAGATAAGGATTACAACAATAAAGGGGATGATTATCCTAATCCTATAATGATTAGGATAACTACAACATATGGATAAATACAAGGGAGGATAGTGACTGATGCTTGGCCGCCTGGTATGGTACTGATGTGGTCTGGTCCATTTCCGGATATGTCCCAACCACCATCTTCATTTCTTAACAGATTGAATAATTTAACTGATATTTTAAAAGAAAATTTTGAGATATAATTGTCGTTAGTTGACCTTTTTTTTTAAAATTGAATGCTGAAAAAAGAAGAATGTAAATTTTGATTTTGTAGTTTCAGTCAAAACAATTTGTAATTTGCAACACATCAATTATGTTTTTTTCTTATATAGTAGTAAATTTTTTCATTTTTCTTTTCTTTTCGAAATCTCATGTTTTCTCAATTGGTACCATTTATAAAGGGAGAACCTATAATTGGGAGGAACAAAAAGGGAGAGAACCCAATTATAACTCACTTTAAAAACTGGAAAATTTAACATGAAAAAGTTAGATACTCTTCCTAGTTCGCACTATGAAAACCAAAGCATCTAATTTAATAAATTTTGGTAATATTTTGTATAAAAAATTTGGTAATTTAGAATGGAAACAAATTTCTTTATTTAAGAACATATATATATTTAAATGTAATAAAATGAACTTAATGGTATGTGATGATGGCGAGAGTATTATTATAGAAACTTTCTGTGAGATGAAATAAATATATGGATAACATATATAAAGACAGTAAAACTATAGGCTAAGAATATAATCTATCCATAGCAAAACGAACCAAATGATGAATCCATCCATTATATATGTATTTGTATAAATTTCTCGAAATGTTATGAGTGCAATACTATATGTTTCAGAAACTAAATAATATCAAGAAAGTAGGTTTAGGATCTCCTAGTCCGTCCTTGAGTCCCAAGAACCAATCCATCACTTGAGAATGATCTTTTCAAGTAGTCTACAAGCTTCACTCTGTTTCCATTTTCAAGATCATAACTTCTCTCTTCCTCTTCTCCGTCTCTTCTCATCCACATAACAATATCAGCGGCCGAGAACCGTCGTGGATGATGAGAACTAATCGAAACACTAACCTCTTCACGGGGATCAAGAACAACTACATTTCCTTCTGCTGATCCAACATTGCTAGTAAACCGATCAAGATTCATAACCAGAAAGACATGATCGGTTTCTTGAGTGGTAGGGACAATGATCTTACCCCGACAAAGGGGACAATTCGAGTGAGAGGCGAGCCACCGATCAATACAAACCACGTGGAAAATGTGGTTACAATTAGGCAATAACCTTAAGCTCTCGTCTTCGTTAAACTCTCCAAGACATATTGAACAATCCGTCACGTTGATCTTTAGCCCGTTTTGATGCTTCTTCAACTTGAAAAACCCTATCTTCTTTATCACGGCATCGTCCAAACCGGCGTTTGAAGTCTCATGAGCAAACGGGTTATCCCGATCTTGACTTTCTAGCGAATTAACATCGATAATCACATCAGATCTTCCCATGTCTGAAGTAGCTTCATCGTTTGTGTCGGTGGCACAATGCTTTGAGACTAGAGTGTAGTATGTTGCTAAGAGAAAGGCACTTCCAAGGATTCCAATGATGGCGATGAGGAGAGGAGAAACGTTAGGGCTTGGTGAAACTCCATCGTTAAGGAGTTGTTCATAGGAAAGTGGTGGCGGAGATAGCTTGATGTAACTACACCATTGAGGACAAAACGTGGAACAAAAGCCTTGAGTACAATCTCTTGGATTTATGTATTGAAGAGTATTAGGGTTTGGATCGGACTCCATGAAAGAGGAAAACAAGACTTATATCATCGAGGGATTATACATTGATAAGTATTATCTTTCATATACAATAACGAAAATCATTGGACATATGAAGGATGTAAGAAACTGAATACATATTATATGTGTGTGATAAATGTGTTTTGTGTGCGTGACAAAGTGTGATGAATGTATTGTGGAATGCACAATTTGATATCTTATAATATAGAAGAGTGATTCCTTTGGTATATGAGAAGCTTGCTTTGTTATCTTTACATGCTTTTTTCTTCTTTTAATATGGCTTTAACTTTGTTCTTTAGTTCTTTTTCTTTTCTTTTGAGATAAATGGCTTGTTGACTAAGACATCGAATCGGGTACGTAAATAAGGTAGCTATGATTTTATTTCCATATGATTCTATTTGGAAGATATATAATAGTTTTATGTGTTTTAAGATTACAAAATACAAATCAATTTAATTAAAATAAGTTTGAATAACTTATCCAAAAATATTTTATGTTTGACTAGTTGAAATAGTGCCAATGTTTTAAATCAAATTTACCGACGAACAAAGTAACCAACTATCTCTGCTTGGACCTGTTTGCACCTTGTAAGCAAACAAAAAGAAATGAATTAGGTGTTGAAAATAACTCTTGAAGTTGGTGTAAAAAAACACAAAGAAGTGAGTTGAGACTTAGTTCTCTAGATGTGTGGGGTGACAATAATGTTTATGTTTGTTTGTTTTCTGACTTACAACGAGTTAAATGGTTCATTATATTTCTATTCCATTTTTATCACTTACCAGAGAGATATATTTAAACTGTGAAAAGTTTCTACATGAGTGTGTGAAGATTTAAGTTGTGAGAATCTATTCTTCTTAACAGTACCTCAAGAATTGGTAGAGATCTTTTAAGGTAAGAGACTACTTGCCAAGGCTTGTATGAATTTATCCAGCCTTGTGACTTACCGTTGATGGTGCAAAGGCTGCTTTAAATTGTCCATTCTTATTAATAAAACTCCGGGAAAGAAAATTATTAAAAATCACTAACACCACTAGTTATCATCTCAATTTAAATTTCTACCTAAAAGATGTATATAATTCAATACAACAACAAGAAAATAAAAAGAACCTAGCTAATTTCTCAAGAAAGACAAATGTTAGTATAATCTCTATTAGTTCTTCAGTTTTCTGATCGTGTAACAACCGTTTGATTAGAGACTTCACCAAACCGGCGATTATCGTATCTTTTGTTTCTAACAAAATCACCAAAAGTAACACAACTCGCTGTTTGGCTATGCCCTCTTGTAACCTTAATCTTGACATGTTCCGGTAATCTCAACCTATACTTATCTTCTTCCTCTGGTTTGTTTCTCACTATTGAATGCCCCGTGGAATGCGACCTCGAGAATTTATCCGGCAGTGTTTGTTCTTTTCTCGATCTTTCACTGTTTAAACAACTGTTTTGTCCTGAAGACGGCCAAGTATCAATCTGTGTTGTTGTCTGAGAACGACGATGATGATCGTCTTCTTCATCATCGTCGCTGGTTTCTTGAATCACATCAATGATCATCTCATCAACGTTGGGAAGAATAACGTTGATGTTTTCCGGTGGTGGAGGATCAAGATCATGGCGACAAACGGGACAAGTTTTGTGAGATTCGAACCAGAGATCGATGCACTCTTGGTGGAAAACATGGTAGCACGTGGTCAAGAGACGTAGCACGTGATCTCCATCGAATTCTAGTAAACAAATGGCGCATTCGAGGCCGTATTTCTCTTCCCGAAGATCTTTAACGGAAGAGTAAGGAAAAGTAGGAAAGGAGTTTATGATTCGAAGTTCGAGACCGGGATTGACCGGTGGAGCTTCTGGTGGTTGGAGTGTGTTTTCGGTTGCTTCGGGCTCTCCTCCTCCTTGGTGGAGACGCCAAGCTTGCATTAATGTGTCGAGGAAACACTTGCAGAAATAAAGTGTGAAGAAACCGATGAAGAAGAAAACGAGGAGTATTACGGTGAGGATCACCGTTAGAGGCGGTGTGACGTAGTTTGCTGATGGAGGATGTGGTGGTAAAGGTGAAGTAATTGTCGACATTACGGTGGCAGGAGACTGATTATCTCCGCCGTGAGATTTCTCATACACTAAAAAAAAACAAGAGATCTTTATTGTTTTTTGTTTATAGTTTTTAGTTAAAAAAAAACTTTTATGTGGTTAGAGTGTGTGGAAAATGTATGATGGTTTGTAAGTGTAGTAGTTGTGATTACTAAAAATAGAAAGTGTGTTTTGAGTTTGGTTTTGTTTGTTGCTTTGTTTGCTTAATACTATGCGTTGAACGAGTCCTCTGTGACATTTGCTTGACGTTAAGCCACTTTAGTCCTTAAAAATAGTATGTTTTGTTCTTTCTCTGGTTTCAAGGGTATAGTCGCTTCTTAATTTAAGTCACCTTCTAACCAAAATTAAAAGGATTTTGTTTTATTCTGCTTGCAAATACGTTTACACGTCATCGCTACTGAAACATGAAGTTTACTACTCCCTCCGTTTCATATTAAGTGTCGTTGTAGAGAATTTTTTGCGTTACAAAATAAGTGTCGTTTTCGATTTTCAATGCAAAATTTATTAATTTTATTATGTAATTTGTTTTTCTATTGGTTAAAATATGGTTAGGTGTATGGGTAACTGTATTTTTATATAGGAAATATGTAAAATTAATTATTTCCTTAATCCGTGTGCACAGCTGTAGAGTGACACTTATAATGAAACAAAGAGAGTATTTACATCCAATCAAATGTAAAAAAAATTTGCAAATATAGACAGACAGCAAGTTCAATGCATTTTTAATGACCAACAAGATAATTTGAGATTATGTTTGATTTTGAGTATTAAGGATGGTTTGATTTATCGATGCGGTTTGGTACACCACCAAAAATGAAGAAATTAAGAATTCGTCGGTCTTCGAAACTGTATCTAATTTTAAATTTTTTCATCATATTTTTAGTAAAAATTAAGAAACAATTTCTTATATTTCCATAATAGTTTCGATTTAAGTAACTAGGGATAATGATGCTCTAACTAACTAATTCTCTGGATCTTTGTTCACCAACACCATGCAAACCCGGTTATTCACAGTGGCAGTTAAATATTCATGTCATCTAGCCACATAATCGAATATATCTGAAATGATAGATTTCAAACTCGGGAAGCTTACCACATTTCCAAACTCGTTTTACCACTCGACAATGATTGTGTGATTACTGCTATTACTATATCTCGATGTGGTTACTGTTACTTCACTTATCCATAGTTCTTTTAGTATCATTAACTAAGTAGATTGAGTGAAGTTGTTTCCATTTTCCATGTTGTAAAATAGGTTTATATTTTTATAAGATAAGCCTACCTTTAACAATGTGAAACAAAAGGACAAAACTAAAATACTACATTTTGTTCATGTACTTGACAAAGAAAACCTTATCTTATCTTATCAAGCAAGAAAATTCGCCAATTGTAAGTTGTAACTATAGTGAATCAGATCTTCAAGATTTCACAGACAAAAGCAAAGATAATGAAAATGTCGTTTTGTGTGATTGTGATACTAATCATCCACAATTCGCAGATCATAGTCATTTTTTCCCCAAGAGGCCAAGTACACTAGACATGGTAAATGAACATGCTCTTCATAATAGTAATTATACTGTCGTAGTGATAACTATACCACAACAATAAAAGACATTACGTCAAACCAATAGTTGATAGAGAGATTTTGACGCCCTACATGTTAGAAAACAAAACACTATTGAGATAATTAGTGAAAGCTTAGTCATACGATTAATTATATATAAGATGAGGATAGAGGCTTATGCTGTTCTATAGACTTATATTATGCTAATACTGGTGTGATTAATTAGTCAAAAAAATACTGTTGTGATTTCTCAGCGATTATATATTTCATCAAATCGTCAATCAACTACTGTATTATTGTTATCTATCGAGACAAAACCAAAAATGCAGGCTACAAACAACAACAAAAAAACGTTTTGTCTTTATCAACACCATTATTTGAGCTTCCACATAATATTATTGACAGTGTAAGAAGTTAAGAGTTTCTTTACAGATGTTATGAGGATTCTGCCACGCCAGTGGTATTCGATAAACTTGAAATACAACGGTAAGAGTGGTTTCGTACTTCTGTGTGCACAATCTGAGTAAAAAATATCCTACACTCACCTAAGTACGAAGAACCCGTACAGCCTCACCAGGTCCCACAATGGCCTCCACGTGTCATAAACAGAGCAGTCAATCTCTTGGCCCTTTACGTGCAAAACCCTTCACATGTCGTTTCCGATTCTTCCCCTCAATTATATTCATCACATCGGACGGCTGTTAGAAAACCAACTTTAAGTCAATCACACGACACAACTGACGTGGCGAGAAACTGGCGCGAGATTGCAAAGTAAACAAAGTCAAACAATCCAACGGTGGATATGAAACAAAAGTCCAGACGATTAAACAATCTATAAATAGCAAGAAACTAAAGATATTCGTAAATGGATAATTAATCTCATCACTCTCAGAAGATAATCAAAGAGGAAAACAAAAACAAGCTTCGCGATGAAATCTCTTTTGATGCGAACCGGTTCGATGCCGGTTCAAAACCGGTTTATCCCGTCGACAATCTCCCGTCACAACTCCGTCGAATCATTATCCACGTACGGCGATAAATTCCCCGCCGGCAAGATCACCATCAACGCCAAGTCCACGATACGGAGAGTGTTATCGGAGAGCGACGTGATCAGATCCAAGAGAATCTCAAAGAGCGTCGGATCAAAGCCTTCTCCGGCGAGAATCCCGGAGGAAGAGGCGGAGGAGCTAGGTGACGGTGGATCTGGATTTAGCGGCGGCGGAGAGGGAAGCAGAGGAGGAGGAGGAGACGGTTACGACGGTCGGAGCAAGATCGGGGAGTATTATAGGGAGATGTTGAAATCGGATCCGAACAACTCGCTTCTTCTGATGAACTACGGAAAGTTCTTGTACGAGGTACGATCGTGATTGACTAATGAGCTTGCTTTAAGAGGTTGTAAGTTTTTAGGTTTATTAAAGTTTTTTGGGGTTTTAGGTGGAGAAAGATTTGGAGAGAGCGGAGGAGTATTACGGGAGAGCTATACTTGCGAGTCCTGGTGATGGTGAGGCGTTGTCGATGTATGGGAAGTTGATTTGGGAGAGGAAGAGGGATGAGAAGAGAGCTCGATGTTACTTTGATCGTGCTCTTATTGCTTCTCCTCATGATTGGTATGTTTTATGTTATTTAAATAGTGTTTGGATGAGTTTTTTGTAAGAGTGTTAAAGGTTTTTTTTTTTAGTATGGTTTTGGGATCGTATGCACATTTCATGTGGGAAGCAGAGGATGATGAGGAAGAAGAAAAGTTGATGGTTGGTGCGTCACCAGTTATGGTTTCTGCGGTTTAGAAACGCGTAAAGACTTAACAGGAAGAAGTAAAAGAGTGATGGAGAGACTGTGACTATGTATTTTACTGAACTTTTCTAACTCCTTTGTTTTACTTGATGTAATGGTAATCTGGAGAGTAATAAACATATATGTGACAGGATATGCTATGTAAGAGATAATAAAAAGTGCTTTTGTATAATTAGAAGTTTTGTATTAAGGGTTGGAACATTTGCAATTTGGTAGAGAAAGTATTTGAAACTTAATATTTGATATGAGTGGATCCATTCGTTGATTATAGGAGAAACAAAAGGAGAGAAGTCTTTGTGATCATCACAATCAAAAGAAACGAGCTAAAAAAGATGAACTGAAACCTACTTAACATCTTTGTCTCTCTCTATTTAACTAAAAACCAAAAGCTGAAGTAAAGAGAAAAGTAGGAAGAAGCAGAACTGCAGAAGACAATGTGAGAGTAGGAAAGCTCAATCTAACTTATGGGAGAGATGTGTAAAACGGAACAAAGAAGCAGACCAGACTAAGCAATCTCTGTTTATTGAGGATTGTGGCCAGGCCAGAGGTGAGGATGGTACATCTGCTGCATAGGCATTTGGTGAAGTTGTTGCGGCGGAGGAGAGTTTCCAAATAGTCCATGATGATTGTTGTTGTTGTTGTTGCTACCACGGTGCAACGGAGAGTTACTTTCGTTTTCCTCTGATGACTCGCTTGAATGTTGCTGTCCCTGAGACCGAGGGCTTCCTGGTCCACCACCACCACCACCGAAGCTCAACATATTGGCTGGTGCTGAAGCTGGTTCGGGAGTAGTATTCTGAGCACGCCTTGCGCTTTGTTTCGGTTTCTTCACTTCTGGTACAAAGCTTCCAACAACGACCTATTTACAAACCCTCAAAGTTAGCATCATACTGTGAATTAACTCTTTGAGTATAAACGTTAATGAAGTAACCTGGACTTGTGAACCAGCTACAAGCATTCCAGCAACAGAACCACCAACAACATGACCATCTGGTCTAGCCAGAGATACACTCAAGCTACCAGTTTTGGTCACAGTACCATTACTCTCTGTATTCAAGAAAGAGCCTGACATTGAAATGATCTCATATGGTCCCTGCATATTACAACACACAAAAACAAAAACAAAAACAAAAACAGTTCAACACAAAGATCACATAGACAATTAAAAGACACAAATCAGACAATTAAAAAAAAAATGACATACCTCACACTTAACAACACCATTAGGATTGCTAGATTGACGAAACATCACACTAGAAACAGCTCCTGTCGCTGAGAGTATACAGATCGCGCGTGGTCCTTGATGCGTAAACGCCACTACCTTCATAGCTATATCCTGAATATAACAGAAACACAAAACTACTCAAATCTTTGACAAAAATTAAAGATCAAAAGCTTAGAGATTTACTACACAACACACACATTTACCTCTCCAGTTTTAACCTCGATGACATGCGGTGTAAACCCTACTCCTCCTGTTCCCCCTGCTCACACACACACAGACAGACAAAACCAAAAACTGTAAAAACAGTGATCTTGATTTGATAAAAGCAGAGAGAGAAAGACAGATCCGGAGTTTCAGACAGTACCTAAAGCATCAAGCTGCTTCTTACCAGAACCAGGAGGACGACCTCTGTTCCGTTTAGCAGGTGGATCGGAAGAGTTAGCACCACCACCACCACCACCGCTATCTCCACCACCAGCTCCTACTCCGCCACCACCATCTCCACCGCCGCCGTAAGAATTAGAAGCAGGAGAAGTAGGAGCCAAAGCAAGACCAATGCCGCCATCAGGAACATACTTCCTCGGCCTCCCTCTCTTCTTCTTAACCTGTTGCTGCTGCTGCTGCTGTGTCTCGATCCCACCGAATCTCATCGAATGCTGCTGCTGGGCCGAGGAAGGCGATCCTTCGAATCCCAGAGATTCAAGCGTCTTCTGATCCATCTGCTGCTGATGCTGATGCTGAGGATGTTGAGGATGCTGTTGAAGGTGTTGAGGATGGAGAGAGCCGAAAGGTAAGCGGTGGTGGTGCATAGCCTGAGATGTGGAGGTGGGACCCATTATAGGGTTGCGGTTGAAGGAACCCATTAGCATCCCAGGCGGTGGTTGTAACTGCTGGTTCTGCTGCTGTTGTTGTTGTTGGTGGTGGAGGAGTTCTCTAGAATCCATTGAAAGAGTAAAGGTAGAAACTTTCTGTTTCTCTCTCTAATGGGGAAGGGAAGGGAAGGAGGTTTTTGTTAAAATTAGGGGGGGTTCCTCGGAGACTTGGTTTGGTTTTTCTTGTTTCGCGAATGCCGAGAAAATAGACGAGAAAGTGCAGGTTTTTGAGTTTTATGCGAAAGCGTGTGAGCTAGCTAACAACTCTCTCTCTTCTTCCCTGATATCTCTATAGAGAGGGAGATGATGTGTTGTTGAGTATTTCTATTTTGTTGGTTTAGTTATATATAAATCAAATCAAAGAAACAAATCCTCGGTTTAGGGTGGATCTTTTTCCGGTTTTTAATAAAAGAAATCTTTCTTTTTTTTCACTTTTCAGGGGAATTTCTGTTTTTTGTTTTTAATTATAGTTTTAATTGAAGGGAAATAAATCTTAAACAAATAATTTAGTTAGGATTTGGTTTGTGAATGTGAATGAGAAGATTTAAGGAGGAAGTAAAGAGTTTGTCTTTAATGATGATGGTGTTCAGTTCAGTCCATTTACACTTTGTTGTTGTAATGTCTCTTTGGATTTGGTGTCCTCCTTTAACTCTTCTCTCTCTTTTTTTTTAAATGTATTTTAATTTGTTTTGGTTTTTTTCACATAATTTGCTATGTTGCATTAAATGAACCGAGTTTGGTAGTGGAAGATAAAACTAAATCGGAATGAGGCATTTAAGTTGAATGCTGGGAGGGTTGGTGTCTTTCTAGGTTTTTTGAAGTTTTATTCGGATTCGATTTAGTTTGATTTAGATTTTCAGATTTTTGATATTACGTCTGTAAATCTCATTTTTGTTTCACTGACCTATCGGTTGAGTTTGGTTCAATTTTTTCCAGTTTGGTTTGAATTATAATCAACACCTGAAATCATTCATATAAAAAATAAGAAACTGACCAAAATACTCATATATATAATCATTCAAAATTAAAACTAGCTAAACTATCAAAACTAACTAATTAGTATTTAGAATAACAAAAGTAAATAAATTACAAAAATCTATAAAAGTATACTAAAATATCTAAATTATCTTAATATATATAAAAAATTAATATATTTATTCTAATTTGAATTTTGGTTCAGGTTGTACATGAACTCGAAAATACATAACTCTTAAGTCTCGTGCAGATATTTTTTTATAATAGTATATAGCCCAAATTTCATTTTTAATGCAGGTTAAGGTTCAGATTTCAGTTTAAGATTAACGTTTATGATTTTCTATCATTTTAGTGGGAGTAGTAGATTCAAAACTCTACTCAAGAGACGAGTGAGAAGAAATTACAAAAACATATATAATTTCTTTCAAATAGAAACAAATGCACATGAATTAATAAGAGAATCTATTCAAATCATGTGAACTATATAGATTTTGGTTTGACTGTGTTTTGGAAATCCAAATAGACATGGGTTTGTACTTTGATGTGTCAGATTTTTCTTAAGTATATACTTCATCAGATCTTAAAAACAATCACTACTATGAAAATGACATCAGCTTATTTTGACAATCTTGTCCTTCTCTTGCCTCATCATATTAAGAAAAATGGAATATTGAGAAGAAGAAAAATATGTAGATTCCATATTAAATTTTTGGTGTAATTCCATATTAATTGACATACGTAACTCAGTAATTTTTAGTGCTATGCTTACACCATTTTTTAAATGTTATGCAACAGAAAAATATAGATAGACCCACTGGAATGTAATACCAATGCTGACACACAAAGATCTAACTTTATTTTCAGTAAATGAACAAAACTGTAACTTTCAACATCTGATTTCATATGAACCAGCTTTAGCTATATCCACTCTTTTCCTACCCATACCTATCACGAGATTATTTGAATTCACAGGCTAATCTTTTGTATCGATTTGACAAAATGAAACCAGTGTCTTAGTTAAAAAAGGACAAAAAGTGACATGTAATTGGTTTTGGGATACTCAATGCGAAAGCACAACACTTTTTTTTTGGTCTAGCTAGCGGCTAAAGTGATCGACTTTACCAGACCAACAAGCACCAGAAAAAGCAGTTGTTTAAAGTTTAAGCCATGCGCGTTACCTTAAGAAACCGGACACGTAAACCAGATTATACTGTGAACATGGTAGCTGAAAATAGAAAAAGATGTTGAGACAGCTAACGAATTACACTATAGTCAACAAACTTTCTCAGCTGAAAGATTGGTAGATCGCGTAGTAGTTAGTAGATATAGTTATAGTTGGTAATAAGATTAGACCCGTGCTTGGTAGCAGAACAGAAGATGAATGACATTTGCATAGGGCATTTCTCAATCTTATTCCATCAGTTCAACTCACTATCTTGTGGTACAAAACAAAAGGGTCTTCTCGGAGTTGAAGATTGTCAGATTTACACCTGTTGAGATGTGACATTATCAAGCTTGATTGTTTCAAGAGAAATTTGATCCGGTAGCACAGAAAACTATGATTAAACAAACGTCAATTACAATTGGTTATATTATATCCTATACAATACTTATGAATTGCCATTTTCATCATTATATAGCTATGTGTAGTAGTGTTATTTTTTGTTTTCTTATTATGTGTTCTTTATTAAAATCTTGTTTCCCTTCTGATTTAATAGCTTTCAATTTTCTAAAAAATATTCAATTTTATATTTAACATATTAAAGACATAGATTTTTTACATAAATCATGTTTTACAAATTTTAATTTTTTGGCGGTGGACTTTCTTAATGGGCCTGAAATTTTCATATATGCCGGCCTAATAACGATCCATAAGTAAAACCTTTCTACTAAAAACATTTACCGCGCAGTTAAAAGTAGAAAAAGGCGCAAAGGAAGAAGATCCAGACAGAACCCTTTTAGATACTGTTCCGAAGATTGTCTGATCCGGACACAATAAAAAAAGCTGTGAAGAAGTAGAACCCTAAGTAACTGTTTCCGGTCTCAAATCTTGTTAATGGGGTTCTTAAAGAAGCTCGCGGGTGTGTTTGGATTTGGTCAGGAAGCTGTGAAAAACGAGGAAGATGACGGAGGAGACGATACAGTCATCGATTCCGGCGACGGAGATAGGACACGTGGGAATAATCAGCCGAGATTTCGTGAAACTGGGTTACCCAGGAAAGGATTCGGAGTTCCGGTTCAAGTCGCCGTCGAAAGGTCTCAACTTGGTCCTGTTCTTCAGCCTTGCTCCGCCGGAGACGGTGACATTCAGGTTTTTTTTTTTTCATTTATCGGATTCTCGAGCTTACTTGTTGATTTGATATATTGAAGTCTGGAACTTGTCTTATGAGATTTCTAATTATCAGGATTAAACTTAGTACATAGCACTCCAAACATTTAGTTTTTGAATACACTAATATGTGTAAGTTACTAGAAAAGATAACCTTTTTTAACCGTTAGTAATAATCATAGATCATGTTCTATATTTAGGCCTTAGCTTCATTTTCTTAGTTTGGTTTACAAAAATTGTTACCTCACTTGTTGTTATCTGGTTGAATTATAGTTCCTTATGGTATATAGTTCATTAATAATTCTAACACTTAGATGCAGACTTGCATTGAAGACAATATGTAGAAAGCAAGTGTTCCAATATCACTTGCTATGTAATGGAAGCCAACATTGTAATCTTTTCTTTGACAGTTTTTGTGTGATCTCTCTCCACTTATCTGATTTCCTATGTTAAATTGTGAAGCTGAATTTTACGTAGTTAAGAGATTGTATTATCTTCTTCTTCTTCTTGTATGTTTTTTTTTTGTTTTCCTACAATATTTATAGTTTTCTCTTGTTTGGAATAAGGGACTAAGGTGGTATACAAAACGGCTAAGGGTTGATGAAGATGGAGATGTGGCTGATGAGTTTTTGGAAGAGGGAGATAAACCGAGAAACGCAGAAGATGATCATAAGACAATGCCAAGACTTGAGGCGAAACGCAAAACAAAACCTGCAAAAGTAAGAAGGCTGGTTGTGTCTTCTGATGGGAAACTCCAGCAGTGTATTGAATATCAAGGAAGATTACTTATAGTATGAATATGATTTAAAAAAAGAGTGGTTTTATAATTAGAGACAAGACAGAATTGATTTTGGGGGGATTGTTTTTACAATTAGTTACGCATCTATTGGACTTTGTAATATGTATTACTCTACCAGTTCTTATATGTGGGTTTATACATGTCAACATGTGGCATCAGCCAATTTTTATTTAGGTTTTACCTATTTACATGTTTTGGAAAATGTCAATGTTGAATAGTTAACATATTTAAATTATTGGTTTCGTTACTATATGTAAAACTTATGATATGTTTACTAGTTCGTGTTATTTATGTGGAAACTGGGTTAAAAACAATATGATAAAAAAAGGGCCCAACCGGGTTCGAACCGGTGACCTATTGATCTGCAGTCAATTGCTCTACCACTGAGCTATGGACCCAAGTTGACATTTCGTAACACTATTATATATATATATATATAAGTACACGTTTTTAAGGTAAGCAAAGTACTATATTTATAGATGTGGCTCTCCACATTGGATTTCTCTACATCTCAACCTCATGCATACTAGCTTCAGATTCATATTTTCTGTGATGAAAAAGAAAAATTGAATCTCTAGATCTGAACCTCATGCATGCTTTTTATAAAATGTAAAGCCATTAGCATTGGAAGTCTTTAGTGGAATTTCTCTTCAACACAAAAAGATGTAATAGAATAGAATGAATTTCTTGGTGAGAAAATTTTATAAATCATTGAGATCATCATTGTTATTCAGAGTGTCAGTTGATAATTTTTTGTCATGATATGTGTATTAAAACATTTCACCCACTTGCAGGGGTGGACGTACCTTACCTCGGGCGGGGTCACATACCCTTTCTAAAATTTGACTTTCTTTATATAATCCTAAAATTATCTCAAATTTCATTAGAATGCTCCCAAACTAATTTAAGATTTATGTTAATGCCTCCCGCTAAATGTTCTCCTAGATTTGTCCCAAGATTTATGTTAATGCTCCTGGCTAAATGTTCTCCTAGATCCGTTCCTACACACTTCTTGTTGGTTAACAAGTGTACTAATAGTTGATAGTTTTAAAAAGGTGACGTCCTAATAGTTTCTCAAAGATTATGAACCTTGATGTGAGAGACGATTCTGTCTAAGTTTCTCACCTTTCATTATTTTTTTGTTTGAAAAATCACTGAAAAACAATATGGCCTAGACTCTATGTCATACTGGATGTTTTTTTTGTTTAATGGTGTACTTTATTTAAAACAAAACTATATTTTAAGAAATTGGTGAGTCTCATTCATAACTTCAACTCTTTAATGATGCCCTATGGACCAATGAATCTTTCAAAATTAAGGAATCATTAATTATAATAGGAAAATTTGATGTGACGTATAAAAAATATATTCTTTAAAAAGTGATCGATGCATAAATAAAATCAGGACTCTGGAACGGTCGAACATGGCCCAAATCTAAAAAAAAAAAAAATACTAAGAAATTTTCAAAAATAAATACCTAAATATAGTTTAAAATATCAAATTTTTATACATTCTTAAAATTTATAGTTTTATAATTTAAATAAACCGCAAATGTGTATATATAGAAATATTAATTTTAAAATTATTTTATTATATCATTAAATATATAGTTTTTTTTTTTTTGAATAGTATCCTAATATAATTGGAGACGGCCAAAATGCAACAATTGTAACCGGTCTCATCGTATAATGCATCTCGGGGAGAAAATGCAAATCTTTAGGCTTTCATATAATCTTTTAACAAAGTGCTGCGTCATATTGCCCCTTTTCTACGTATATACTTTGAATCTTTCTATATTCTTCTTCTTTTTTTTTACTTTTTATGGAATTTCAAAAACCATGTACCTTAACACATAACTTTTACAATATGGTTTTCTCATGCAAATGATTGTTACTCACCATTTCCAAAGTTGGTTTAAAGGTTAAGCTTGGTCCAAGTAATTAATGACTGGAAGATGTCATTCTCTTTGCATATATTTCGGAACATACAAATAAGAACATCATATAATCATCTAAAGTTTTACAGATTAGTACTTTTAAATAGTCATTCCACAGCATACAAAATGTATTAGTAAATATAAAATACAAAATGTATTAGTAATATAAAATACATAATCAAAAGCAACCATATAATTATTCTCTACATATAAAATGCAAGAACTTCAAGTTTTTTAGCAGAAAAATAAAACTCCAACTTTATGACAACTCTTCTTCCAGGACTCCAACGTTAAAAGGCGTTTCTGTTCAGAAGAGAATCCCACACATTTCCTTCTACCTAGAAAAGGTTTGTGTAGCCGAATGAACCGGTTTGGTCGTATTCATAATTTGGCCAATAACCGGCTTGCATTGATTGGTCAATGTTCCGATCAACGTTCAAATAAGAACTCTTCGGAAGTCCCACGTGGTAGTTGGCCGCATTAACTGGAAAATGATAGTTGGGAAACTCAGAAGCACCATCCTGAATATGAGGATAATCCTATATTTGAATATCACAAAACCAAATGAGACCACTATTTGTATATACAAAGACTAGGAGGTCCGGTACAGCCGGATAAAATATTCTTCATTATTTTATAAAATTTGAAGTTATTATATACATGTTGCATGACTTCTAAATCATCGACTTTTTTTTACTAAAACTAATCTGAAAATGGTAAGGCTTCCTAAATTTTAGATAAGGCCATGTGTATATACAAAGCTGTTTTGATGTAGATATTAGCAGGTACCTTGGAGGAATCAAGGATGAAATCAGGAGATAGCCACATGCGAGAAGATTTGTTCGTAGTAGAACAAGGTTCGAATGATTGAAACTGCGTCGTTTCATCACGACGTGGAGAAGTCGCAAGGCTAGAGCAACCAGAGCCAATAGCTTGTTCATTTTTATTTTTCGAAGTTTTAGTCTTAAGTTGGCTCTTCTTGACTACACGACATAACGCGAAAGCTCCCTGAAATTCAAACATATTAATTTGGTTCTTAGGTACTTTTCCATAAATCAAAGATATGTATACGTTAAGGATGAACAAATTATTTTCTTACCTTGAAATTTGGTGATCTTTGAGAAAGATCGTCATCGTTTAGACGATATTCATGCATAAACCAGTTAGTTCTAGCACCTAATGGGGCACGACCTTCATAGAAGACTAGTGTTTTCCGGTACCCGGTTATAACACCCGACGATTTACAAGTAATTTTCCGGTCTTTACCAGTCGGTTTCCAGTAACCGGCTTTTGTAGCCCTGTTGGTTCGTAAACCGTTTGGATACTTTTTGTCCCTTGGACAGAAAAAGAACCATTCCATGTCCCTATTAGGAAGGAAAGATTTATCTAAAAAAAAAAAAAAGACAAATTGAAAAAAAAAAGAGTTAATAACATAGTAACTGAAAAGAATTTGTGAATAATATATCAAATTACCTGGTAACTCCCAAGGGTCGAATTTGTATAAATCGATAACAGGAATGACTTCAAGCTCGATCCCGAGACCTTCTACTTTTCTACTTAAGTAATAGCCTATGAGCTCTTGATCTGTTGGATGGAATCTGAATCCTGGAGGTAAACATGAACTTCCCACCATTTGCATCATTCACATTTGTTGTTTGCGACAAAAGATAGTTGTAGCGATCAAAATCTACTAAATATTTGGAATGTCCTGAAATAGAAACTTTTTGACACTTTATTTCCTAAGAAAAGCTTGCAACTCACGTTGATTGGATTCTTTTTGTGACATCGAAAAGAAACCGCATGATTACAAAAAGATCAAACCGATATTAACTGAAACTCCCCTTCTTAATATCTAACTAGTAGAGAGAAAAAATAACACACACAAAAGTAAGGTTAAAATTGAAAAAATAGCGAAGTGGTAAACTGGAGTTTGAATTGAGAGAAGAGGTAATTGCTACGGGTCAAAGACACTGAGTGAAGAAAAGAGTGATCTGACTTTATATAGGAGATTAAAATCAGAAATTAAAAGTAATTAGCGAGTAGTTAGTTTAGGAGAATGATTAAGTAAGGGAAAGTCGGTAGAGTTTTGAATGGTTGTGGAGCAATGAATATATATAGCACAATTTTTTGAAATTCTGGGGCAAACTAAGTAAAAAGGACTATGAGTAACTATATCGTATTATATTATAATGCTATGTAAAATTCATAAGAAAAATAACAAGACACTCACCGAAAGCACAATGAAGACATTGCTTGTCTTAAGAATTCGCAAAATTTCATTAGAAGTTGGACCCACCTGGTCTCAGAAGCTATAACACTAGTTTGTACAGCACAATTCAGATATAACACTAGTTCACACACCACAGTTCAGCTATAACACTAGTTCACACACAACAGTTCAGCTATAAACCCTTTCCCTATTATACAACCCATCTTAATCTTTTTTTTTTGTTACTGTCAACCTATCTTTAATCTTTTTTTTTTTTGTAACACTCAACCTATCTTTAATCAAAGCTTATTTATTCACCTTTCAACGAGGTTCCAATTTTCAAAAATAATATGTTTGTTCTTATCAAATATTATATGGAAGCAGAAACAATTTTAAATTAATAGAGAATATGATTAATTTCGCTCGTTTTTATAAAATTTTTATTATCAATTATAATCCATATATTTACATCTTTATTTTTAAAATGTGATTCATTTGTTTTTATCAATTAAATAATCAATTTAAACCATTTTAAATGACTGATCAAAGATAGAAATCTGATTATATTTTTATTAATGTACAAAGTTTTGTTCTTCTACTGCGTTGAGATTCGTTAATATAAATTTTGTTAATTCCAAATAATTGATCTATATGTAGATATGTGGACTAAAGCCATCACCGTTATCTATTTGCTGTTTTCCTTCAATACTTAATAGGGAACTTAATATGAAAATGGTCTTTCTATAAAGAAAAAATGCTAATCATAAAGATTACAATTTTAGTCTGAGTCCAATATCACTTAACTTTTTTGAAAATGAAGAATCATACCACTAGACCAAACGCCCTTTGTTTCAATATCACATAACTTAGGTCATTAAAATTTGTTCTGATGCATTTTTATTGTAGCCAAAACAGTTTCTTCCACGCCAGCATGAGTAAGACATAATCGTTTTCAACTTTTAAGACAGGGATAAGGAAACTTTGACGAAATCAATTTAGTTATTGCTTTCTCTCAAATTTTATTCATTGCTTGTTTGATTTTTCAACAAATAATACTGAAGTTTTCAGAGATATCATGAATGATAATATAGTCAAACCATTATCACAAATTCATTGAGAGAATCCATTAAAAATGTCCAAGCAATATGATCTCAAATTATTTTAAAAAATTGTTTACACTACAACATTTCTAATACTACTTTTCATGTTTACATTAACAACATCTAAATTTGAATTTTAAAGAGGTAAATACATACTTATAACTATAAATCTTGGGTTAATAAATCTTGACTTATGGATTTCGATTTAAGAGGTGAAGGTTAGAATTTTAATAAATATATAAATAAATATTTTAAGTTAAAATATTTTTATAATAGTTTCAAATAGAATTTGAAATTCAAAAAACAAATTTGAAAAAGTAAAAAAATTTCCAAACAAAATCAAATTTTTCTTTTTAATTATTTATTTAAAAAATTAATTTATATTTATATATTTATAAACCATGGACAAAAATACTTTTTACTTCCTAAATGAAATTTCATACTTAGATAATTTTAAAAATATTTATTTAAAAAAGATAAACATAAATAATGGTACTAAATAGAAAGTAAAATTTCTCTAATTATTTTCATATATATATATATATATATGATCTAAAATTCTGTATACTCGATATAGTTTCTCTTCGGATAAGGTTTGGTCACTTAAAAATTATTATGCGAAATTTTTGGATTTTTGTTTGACTTACAGAAACTTAAATTTGCAACAAAAAAGGATAGTTTGATGGTTTCTTGTGCTAACCTGGACGTTTATTTGAAGCATGGTGTTCATTTGATACTAGAGGCAATTCTATTTGGAGCTGGTCGATTTATTGTATTTTCAGAAAAAGGTGGAAAGGTATCCAACACATAGATCGTATATCGTATAGTGATATTATTTCAATTTCGGTCAAGAAAGAATTTTTTTAAGTTGAAACTTATAAAAAAGTGAATGTCATCGCGTATGTCTAAAAAATCAAAATGAACTTATTGGTTTTCTCAATTGACAAGAACTATGATTAAAGAACATAATTTTACATGTTTGATAGATGAAGTTTGAAGTGGAAATGCAATTAATATTTATTTTAGTATTAGTTAATAATTATTGTTTTAAATTATTTTTATAAACTTAGGGTCCAATTTTTTGTTTGTTTAGAGTCTAATGAATACTAAAGTGGAATTTGTGTTTAAGATGTAAAATTGTAGTTTAAAGTTTAGCTCTCTTTATGTTCAAAAAATAAAAGTTTAATTCTCATTTGTGTAACACATGATAGATAAAACATCTGTTCAAAAACGTGGTTAACGCGACCAGTTAATCACCAATTAAGCGTTGTATAGTCTACCAATGCTGCAATTAAGCTCAAATAGACCAGAAAAATTGGTCAGCTATACAATCAGTCAACTAACCCGATTAATCAATATAAAGTCGATTTTTACCGAGTAAAATTTAACTAATTTAAAAATTTCAAGGCTATAAAAGAAGCCTAATTATAAATAAAAAAACAAGGAAACTATATGTACTTATTTATAGTTGAGGTGAAACACTTCTTTCGATGTAAAACAAATGTTTTATAGTATTAAAAAAAAAAAAAAAAAAACATGAGTCACTGATTATATTGAAGAATCGAACACATTATCAGCCTCAGAAACAAAAGTGTCACAAACCACTACACAACTATACATTTTATTGTTTATTTCATATTTGTAATTATATATGTATGTATTTTTGTAATAAAAATATAAAAAAACTAGGCCTTCATTAAATCTTGCAAAAGCTCTGATTTATTAATTAGATGCTAGGTCCAAGCTAAGTGTCCGATTAGCGCCTAATGAATTCTTAAACATGAAATAAAGCTAAAAACAAAGAAAAAAAACCTAAAAGGGAAAAAGTAATGGCTTCACGAGATGGAAACGAGAATTGACTCTACGATCCTATAATTTCTGTTTCTCTGACTCTAGTATAATATTTGATTAGAAAAAAACACAATGAGTGCTTGTTTGATTTTTATTAACTGATACTCTCTTTTTTTGTTCAAAATAGTAATTGATACCTCTCTCTTTCATTTTAGCTTTGAAACACAGAAAATATTGGTTATTAGCTTTCTCTTTTTATTATATTACAAAATATGTAAAAGGTGATTAAATTCTATGATTATATAACTTATATTTTCTTTTTCTGGTACAATGTTTTGACTAAATACAAAAAGAATAAAAAACAGTAATGTCTCGCTGCCTTGCTGGTATCAGTTAACATTACCTACTTCAAGTTAACTAAACTAGTTTATCCTTCTGTACATTTCCCCCTTTATGATTAAACTAACCAGCCCGAAATCAATAAAATTTAGTTTCACGTATCATGTGAACTTAAACGTGTTATAAATGATAAATACATCATTTTATATCTTTACCTATTTTCATATTTAAATTAATAGTATTTGAAAAAAATATAATTTCTGACGCTTACGATTAACAATTATCAGCTAATAAAAAATCATAAAATATAAAACACATTACCTCTATTTCTTTAAAATAGTTTTTTCACACATATTAAAAAAATATTTTCAATCATCATTACAAATCTGTAATTTTGTAATTATCAATTTTTAACAAATAGTAATTTAATTAAATTTGATTTTCTTTTCTGAAATTTACATAGAAACATAATACATCCATCTTTATGAGAAATATTTTTTTCTAAGATAACTATCTCACTAGAATGGAAGGGGTATATTTTGAACCAAACTTCTATTTTAAAACACTTATATTTTATAACCAGAGAGTATTGAATTTGTGAACTCTAGTAAATACACTTTGAAAATCTCTGAATATAAATCTCAAAATCTGATACTCTAGAGTCTTGTTTGCCTAAAATTCATCTGTTTTTTCACCAAATTAATTTAACTAATGTATTTTGCTTCTTTGTCAACAAAAATAGAGAGACACGGTCTGAGCAAACCAGCTCGTGAAGGAACAACACCGATATCTAATAGATTCAACGAGTGTCACCGAAACCAACAAAGCAGCAAGAACTTTACATCATATTATTTTTATCGTTAGTATGATTTTGAAGATGCATTTTATTTGAAAGATAATATACATTCGATTAGAACAGGTTTGCCTCATGTGGAAAATAAATATCATAGATATGATTAAATACATGCGCTATAATGTCGGCACAAACATGGTTAAATACTCTCTTTTTTTTGCTTAAATATGTTTTTCTTCCTAAGGTGATATAGAAAAATATATTATCATATAGAAAAAATAATAAACAATTTGTTACCAAAAAAAATGATAAACAATAAAATATACAACTGGGGTTTTTCCCCTCATAATGGATGTGTCCTAATCAACTGCTTACATAAATAATTCCATGAACCGACACCAACTCACCATATTCCTCGTGTTTCTCGTTTTTCTAACGTGATTTTTTTCATGTAAATTTATATATAGCTTTGCAAGCTAGCTATATAAGAGTTTAATTATATATAAGTACTCTAAATGTTTGAATATATGAGGTTACTAATATATTTTTTTTTTTTTGAAACATATGAGGTTACTAATATACTTTAAACTTTCCGGGTTAAATTCATATACGTATTTTTTCTCCAAATTTTACCCAAAAATAAAAAAAGTTTTAGATCGAATGGGTTTGGCATAAATTTATAGATACACATCTCATCTGAGAGAGAGAAAGAGAGAGCAATCCTCTCAACCAAAGCAACTCACTCACACACGATGGATGAAGCCATACTCACACTATGCTAAAAATTGTGATACAATGTGTTACTCACCAAACTGAATAAATCACCCGCGAAAGAGCAAGACTGATATGTAATAGATTAACCGATATCACTCGACTAAAAAAAACTGGTCAGATTTTATTTTCGTCAACCAATATAAGACCTTTGCATAGTATATCTTTAATCATTAATTAGTATACTATATAATTTTAAAGATGTTTAAGCTATGAATTTCAATCTAAAACTAATCGGTGATAAATGGATTAATTTATATATTTTATATATTATTTAAGTTCATCTCGAATTTTTAAGAGAATTTGCACTTCCTACACACAACTAATACCCTATTTGCATTTCCTATCCTATTTTCTCCTGTTTTTGCTCCCGATCATCAATATATTTTCCCAAACTTAAGGTATTCAATATTTTTTAGTATTTTGAACAAATTGACTCAATTTTCAATCTGGAAATTTTATCTATAATATGTTCTCTTGAAATGAGATTGTCAATCTCGAAATATTTGAATAGAGATTGATAAATCAGTTCTTTTTTTTTATCTTATCCTAGAATAGATATTGCTTGATACTATGTTAAGTTAGATAACATATAATTATTTAAAGAAATTATTACGTGGAAAATAAATGTATACCAGCCCACCATAGCGATCCCATATCGTGTTACTTGTTTTTTGTTTATACAGTGTGTGTATAGTCTATGATTCCGACAATGTATAGGCGAAAAGTAGGCTACTTTGTAGATAGCCGTCAACTTAGTTAAATTAGCTAACAGAAAGACTTAGACGACGATAACTACAAGCCTGCAACTCTAATTGAGCACCCATGAATAAACAAGGAAGAAGCTTGTCTTCCTTTCTCTGTTTCAATATAAATATAAATGTGCACATATCTGTAAGCATATTGAAGTTTAACAAAAAAAATGTACATACATTATTAAAAGAAAACCAGAAAACATATCTCTACGCGTGCGTGCTTGTCATTGTAAATTAGGTTAGTATGAAAGTAAAGGAAAACAAAAACAACTCGACCAGAAAAAAAAAAAAAAAAAAGTCAGAGGATCCTTTTTGATTGTCTGGTTCTCTGAATTTTTGTCTTCGGAAAAGAATGATAAGATCAATGCATGCTAAGTGATCCAAAATCAATACATGTTACATACATTTTTTGGCTGAAATGTTATATATATATATATATATAGCTACCAACATCAAACCCTTACAAAACAATGTGGACAAAGGAACTGAGGTTTATAGTCTACGATTCCGAAAAATGTATAGGCATAATTAAATGTTAGAAATATATTACTATATATATGATAGATCATAGATGTATGCACAAATAAGTTAAATTTAATTTATTAGACATGCATGCGTACATTTTTTTTTTTGGCGGCAATGCATGCATGTGTACATACATGTATGTACGAGTTTGTGCGTGTTCAAATGTGTGACTAGATGTTGGTCATCATTTAGCACTAACATTGTCTTATATTTGAATGTGACATATTTGTTTTCTCACAAGATTAGACGTGATTTAATGACTGTTTATATCAGTAATTTGGGAGTGATTGATTGGAACGTAATTGTATTTAAAGTTAATTTATATTTATATTAATCATAAAAGTTACAGATTATGTTTTAATTTTTAAAGTTAAAAAAAATAGATGTAGAAATATTGTTTTTTAAAACATTATTTTTAAAACTGTAAAAAACATATATATTGTTGTAGAAGAACATCTTTTTCTGTTAAACATACAACTATATAAAAAAAAAATTATAAACTAACCAGATACAACTATCAAAAAAATCTTACAAACTAGATTTTACTGTAAATTTGTACAGCTACTACAACACATTACACACCCAATCTTCCACATCATTTGTTTCATCATCTTTGGGCTTAAATAACAAATTAGACATAAATGGTGCGGCCCAAACTCAAAATAATGGTAAAACTATAAAACTCTAATTCACCATAACATTCAATCCCTTCTTCCTAATAAATTTTCAAGAAAAACAAGCAACCCACACTAACTTTTCACACAAACATCTGATCTTTATAAACATAAATAAAACCCTAATTCACAACAACATTCAATCCCTCACAAGCTTCTCTCTTACAACAGACAAAACAAACACTCTTAAGGGTAAACTCTGTTCCTGAAAAGGACCCATACTAATATTCGGGACTCTCTTCTCTTCATTCCTTCTTAAACTTCAACAACGCCAACTGCTCTGTTGTTGTCGCTTAGCATCAAAAGCAGCACCATCATTAATCATATCACTAGCATCACTCTCCATTCCAAGCTTAGAAAGCGCTAAAGCCTGCATGTAAAACGCAGTAGGCCACTCCTGTATGCATACTTGAGCCTGCATTGCATCTTTCAACGCAAACTCTACTTGCCCCGTCATCAAGTAGGAGAATGACCTTCTCGCAAACACAGTCGCAGATGGAGCATTCATCATCATCACCACCACCTCTGAGTAACATTTTATTGCATTCTTGAAGTCCTTGTCTCTGAAAGCACTGTCTCCTGACTTCCTTATGTTGACCATCTCCTGCGCTGGTTGTGTCCATTCTTGAAATGAAAGCTGTGGGGACAAAGTCAAAATCAGAACCAATAGAAAAACCTGGTTAAAGATTTGTCTTAAAGTACCTCATTCTCTACTCCTTCCTCGTCTTTGTAACCAGTTTTAAGCAAAATCTCGTGTACAGCCTCAAGGTCCATCCGAGAACAAGCTTTTCCAAGTGGAGAAAGCAGAGTTGGTAGTATCACTGTATTCTTAGGCAAACCCATCAAGACATGAGATGCAACCTATAAAACACACACAAAACAAAAAAGTTAATAAAACATATTTGAGTATTCCTTGCATATGATTCTTGAACCTGTTTCTGCTTTTGTAGTGGTGTTACTGAAGAGACAAGAAACTTGGTATCAGGTCGATCTTTAGCCTCGTTTTGAAGACATTTTGAAGCAAGATCAACAAGTTTAGTTGCGTCTTCATTTTCAAATTGCCCTTCAAGTGATGAATCCATTAGTAGCAACACGTTCTTTCCTCTTATCATATCAAGAGCCTGAAAAATTGTGAAAAACAATCATCAGTAATCTCATATTAAGAGATGACCTAATGAAACAAAGATGGACATTACATGGTTAGGTGGAATGTGTTTGCCGCTCAAAAGATCTATAAGAATAGTTCCATAACTGTAAACCACACTCTCTGGAATGACTATACCTACCAAAATGGTAAAATATCTATCATAAGAGTTGTCTCCTTTGATGTTATTTAAGTAGGGAGAGTCTCTTATTATACCTGTTCGCAAGAACTCAGGTGGAGTATAAGCTAAGTTGGTACTATAGCTTTTCCCGTTGCTACTGTTCTTCATAAGACCAAAAGTAGATAGACGAGGGTCACCTTCCTCATCAAAGAGGATTCTGTATGCATTCAAATCATGATAGATCTTTCTGTTTTCTACATTGCAGTGATGAAGTGCTTGCGCTATAGAATCTGCAACTCTAAGACGCATTTCCCAAGGAAGTGGCTGGTTCTCCCCTACACACAAAAAGAGAGAGAGAGCATCAAGCAAACTCTCCTAAGGAGAAGTGTAGTCATCGATCTTACAGTGAAAGAGATGCTTTGAGAGAGTATCATTAGGCATATACTCAGCTACCAACAGTCTCTCGTTTCCTTCAGCGCAACAACCAATCAGATTGACCAATCTGTTGAATCTAAGCTTTCCAACACCAGTGGCCTCAGCCTGATTCCATAAGTCAAACATTGGTCAACGCAAGATCAACTTATTCTGATTCAGACAAGATAAACAGACAGGAAAGTTCCAAAGCATCTTTTCTTGTTTTTTTCTTTTCAATTAATGACGCATAAAGACCATACCTTTACTAAGGTAACAGCAACAATAAAGGCTAAAGTCTAAAGAAGAATCTGATAAAACTGTGGTCGATATAATATAGTTCAGAATCATGGGATTAAAGTAGCTTTTGCAAACCTAAAGTTACCTACTTTACCTTCATTTCATCAGCCTATCAGACAGATGGTTACCATATTCTCTTGTCAAGATAGACACTAACTAATGTATTCTTTGCGTCTTTGACTGGTTACTGATGATCAATGAAAGCAATGACCATAAGATAAGAATCTTAATGTTTGATTCTTACCACAAACTGCTGAGCATCAGGCCATGACTGTTTAGAGAATCTCTTGATGGCTACAAGACGATTGCCTTCAAGCTTTCCTCTGTAAACAACATTGGGAGCTTTCTCTCCACCTTCAGAGACAATGCAGCTGGGACTAAACCCATTTGTTACTTTCTCAAGTTCACTCAATTCAAACTCTTTGAAACATGGGACTTGATTCTCTTGATCCACTTGGTTCTCAGTTACTACACACACAAAAACAGTTTCATCAGCAAAATCCCACTAAAAGAGGAGTTTTAGTCTTAAAAAAAGTAATAAACTTTCAATCTATTTCCTGCTTTAAATATAATTTACAGTAAACCCACAATCATTAAAACAGACCCGCAACAGAATTAAGACACAACTAGGCAACCAAAAGACAAACCTAAGTCTACACATCCCCTAAACAAACAAAAAATAATAAATATAGAGAGGAAAATAGAGTAAAAACCTGAGTCTGGTTTGTGTGGAACTGAAGGATCATCAAGAGAATGGAGATTAGCAGTTTTGGACTGGCAACAACCCATCAGAAAGCAATTAGCAGAAATTGAAAGAGTGATGAGTTGATAAGCAAAAAATGATTAAGCCGGATGAGTTTTGACTTTTGAGAGAAGAAGAGTGTTGTGTCTCTTCTCCTTCAAAGAGTGAGTTTGGAATTTATAATATTTGTGTTAAAAGGAGATGAAGAGGCAGAAGAAAGTAGAATAAATATTGAATTTTAAACCACAGAAATTGTTAAGGAATGAGTTTTTGGAAGGAAACAGAAAAAACAAGAATAGTATAGTTTTATTTTCTTACGTTTCTGTTAAGTTGAACTCTTCCAGAAAAAAAATTAAAAGCGATGTCTTACCCATAAAATGATGTTTAAGAACAAAAAAATATATTACCACAAAATGATGTTTGAAAAATGTATGTTACCAACGAACTAGAGAGAGATTAACTTCTTGCAGTCAACAGTCAACATTAGCTATACTGTCTCTAATCTCTATCTAGCTATAACTAATTACGGTATTGTTTGCTATAAGTTAGTAGCCTCTATGTTGAGGCATTTTCCCATGTACCGATGGTCCGATGGATATGTGAGGGCTAACATTTTGGTTATAATATAATCTTTCAGATGAAAAAGAACTTTCATGTGCTGTTCCAGATTTGCAAATGTTGTTTTCTTCCTAATCTATGAACAACCGTAACTAAATCTTTTGGTATAACAAGTTATTTCAATATGGATTTTGATAAATTAATATGTTAGTTTTTTGATAACATAACACTATAGAGTTTAAGAACATATGAGTTTTGCTTATAACATCAAAAAAGTTACAATAAAATAGTGGAACAGGATGACAAAAATATTTTTAAAAACTTGTATATTATATTTGGAAACCAATATGTGAACAAACTAAAGAAAATAATAGTATTTATGAAAATTATATAGATGCATATTTTTAGTTAATAGTATCGTAAATGTTGAAAGAATATGTTAGAAATAACATAGCATAATGGTGCAATTTTCTTAATTTGCTTTCAGCTTTAATGAAATTTTCAATATACTAAAAATTAACTCATGCTTTGAAATATTTTTACAATAAAAATTATTTGATAAAACAATTATATATTTTATGATAAATTGTATGGTATTTTAAAAATTAACAGTAAAATACTAAATGATTTAAAATATAAATAAAATTTGATTAAATAATAAACATATTATTCTCTCAATTCAGAAAGATCCATGTTTAACGTCGATCTCGACTATGACAAGCTCTTTAGAGCTTCCGCTGCAGGGATACAAGTAAAGCTAGCCTTCGGATTTCTTTACTTTGAGCAAGCCTCTCCTGTTAACACTTCTATCTTAGGATGTATCGTTTCTTTTATGTTCATCGTAGCTTCGAGTATTTTGATTGTAGTCGTTTTATCGTCGAGCATTGCTCCGGTTGTAACTTTTTAGCCTTTGGGCCTCTTTTATAATATAATCCGTGTTACAAAAAGAAAGATCCATGTTTTAGAAAAAATCAAAAATACATTTTAACATGTTTTTATTAAATTGTTATGTTTATTAAATTTTTAGTGGATACAAACTATGGAAAAAATTAATCACAAAATACTACATTTGTTATCACTATTGAATATGTTTTTAATATATGCGAAAAATTTAAACCATGCATAGTTTTTAGAAAACAGGAATAATACTTAGCAGTTGAAAATAAACTAGAATTTCAGTACTTTTTTTTGCCAACACTAACTACACTAATCTCAAGTAGTCATGTATTCGAAAATCTAAACTAGTGGTACAGTTCCAACTTCCAAGACATTCTAGTTGACAATAACCTAAATTTTCCTGAACAAAAAAAACTAAAGAATTTAGAATTATCATTTTTGGTTGACACATTATTAAATTCTCCTCTCGTTAAAAAAAAAATTCGAGTGGGAGAGAGAAAGGAGTCATATGATACGCCTATCATGGGGCACGTGCGTACGTCTTCTTGGGTCTTAAATTGTACCAAGGAGGAAATGTGGCTATTCCCATTTGATTATATTTTGTCATGCGGTTAATAAAGGGGAAAACACAAATTACTTCTTTAAATTTAAGCATTATCTAGTACAGAAGACACCGCCACAGAAAATGAGATTGTTCAGGACATTGTCATATACCAATTTTAAAATCTGATAGATGTTTGACAATTTAATTTTTAGTTCACACTGTTTTAGTTGTAAATGAACTGTAGTCAATGAGTAGCCTTTTCATAAACACCGACAAATTAACATTAGAGAGAATCTAATATTTTGGCACATCTATATCCATGGGCATATTATTGTTTAAATACTATTCCAGTCTAAATTCGAGCTGAAGAAAATGTTTAATACTATTTTAACTCTGCTTACACCATAGAAGTGTAAATTTTATGAAGGAAGATGTGAAAGTAGTGATTCTTGAAATCGTTTTGACAAACGATCTAGCATAAAGAAAAAACAATAAACGTAAATTTCACTTTATAAGTTTCTACATGATTATTAAATTTATTAATATCATAGCTTGAGATGGACCAATGTTCAATCAGACATCTCTCTGTTTTCCTTTTTTGGAATGAGACATAATTAAATACTCAAAGTTGATTTTAATCATTCTCTGTTCATGTTATTGTTGAATTTATTAGCCTTACGATCCACACTTTGATAATTATGCTCAAAATCACAAATATCAATTTTGACTACTAAAGCAATGACTCTTTCCAACCAAAGAAAAAATGAATAATGAAATAAAGTAAATATAAAAAGAAAATCATATACAAAGAAAGGCTTTTGAGATGGATTATAAAGCAACGGTAAGAAACCTGGTTCAAGAAAGATGTTTTTTAACGTTGTAAATTTAAACTAAAAACTCTTAATTTCAAAACTAGCTTCATTAATTTCAAACCATGACCCCCTATATTTATAAACTTTGAAGTCTAAGATGTAAGCAAATGTTATGTTTCTTAATTTTGTTTCAATCAGCTTAGTTACTCTTTATAATTTTAGATCTTCTTCTCAATGATCGGTTATTCAAATGTCAAGTTGCTTTCAGAGTTACATCAACAATTTAAGCATTTTCAACAATTTTAAATGGAAAATAGTAGACCATACAAGAAATCAAAGAAAATGAAGACAATTAAACAAACTAGTATACAATTAACCAGGTAAAAGTTGGCTCTTAGATAACAATAAAAAACAAACAAAAAATTAAATTGAAAACAAGTCCTCCATGTATAAAAAATTAATCACAGTAATTCGTTAATAAGTTATTATTATCTTTGGAAACACTTAAAACAAGTAAGAAGGTTCAGGATGAACAGCTGAAGCAGCGGCGTTGTTAACGTGAAGAGCTCTCTGAAGTTTCCGTTGATCAAAAACTTCAACTCCAACGTTGAATATGGAAGTCACCGGCCGATGATCAGACATCCTTATCTCCGATCTCTTATAACACTCTTGTCTTATTCCTTTTCCCAACCATAATATTCGATCACACCTGTTAAAACACACGACGAATAACACTCTTTAAGAATCACACAAGCTGTCACAAAAAAGGGAATAATAACACAAGTTTTCTAAGATTTCATAATGGCCCCATAACTATTTACACGTTGAACTTTTAGTCACTTACCAAGCAGGAGCTCTCTTCTTCTCTCCCTCTCTCGGGTTTTCTCCGGCGTAACGATCGGAATCGAACTCGTACTTGTATGTCGGAGGGAACTTGATCGGTCCTTCTTTCCATCCATCAAAGACATGCCCTCTTCGTAATTCTCTAATCAACTGTAACATTAAATTGATATTTATTTAAATAAGTTACAAAGTATTATATGTAGGTAAGAATTCAAGAACTGAACTAAGAGACCAAACCTGATCACTGTTCTTTAGCTCATCCCAACGTTTCTGTGAGACAAGCTTTCTCACGTCACTGTCTGACATATTAAGTCTATAATTCAAATCCCCAAACCAGAACACCTGACTGTTAAATGAAACAAACAAACTGTTTAGTGAGAAGATTTAAAAAAAAAAAATTGATTCATATTTTGTAGTCTTTGAATGAATACTTACTCGTGACATGGAATGGTTCTAGGTTGATCGGTATCAAGAACCGATGCGAAATGAGTACGGCGTATGATTTCGTACACGTCAGCATTCCGGCGTTGCTCAGCACCGTCTTTTTGACCGGAAGTTAAGTGTGAACACACAAAACACATTCTTGATTGATACAACGTCATGCTTATCGAAACCGATCCCTGCAAATTACCAAACTTTTAATAATCTTGCATGTGTTTTTTTTGTAGTATGATTGATTACTTGGAAAAGAAGTTAGGGTTTTGCTAAGTACCTTGTTTCCCATGTAACCCATCAAACCAACTCCAACCGGTGAAACTTTCAAATTATTGACGTGTCTTCTTAACCGCCGTCGGATCCAAACCGATACATAGATCCCAACCATTTGCTTACTCACAATCCTCACATACTTTTGAGAATCTCTCACCTTCCGACACTCTTCCACCAGATCCTCCGACAATCCATAACTATTTCCGACCTTATCTCCTTCCTCGTCAGAAGACGAATCTCCGTCTGATGAATCATCATCAGACAGATTTTTCGCAGCTTCGGACGAGGAGGAAGAGGAGTTATTATCATTCTCCTCTTTGATATCACTCCAACTCAGCTTTAGGGTTTCAAAACTCCTTGACCGTTTCAAGTTCCTTGCGTCCAAAGAAAACCTACTCACACCCGTTGGATTCTCCTGTAACTTAAACCCTAACATAGCGTTGCTGCTCAACACTCTCCTCAACTTCCCCTCTGATCCAACGATCTGAGGATTCTCATCTAAAGCTCGTTCAGGCCAGTCCATATCTGGATTCCCAACTGGTTCAAGACTCGGTAAAGCGGTCGCAGCGTCTATGAACTCGTCTGTAGCTAAGTCTAAGGCCTGGTCCGAAGCGAGATTCTCGACCATGACATCAGCGATGATTGAGTTTGTTTGTTGTGTTAAGACAGGTGACGATGGCGCGCTGTGAGACCTATGAAGAAGAACGTTGTTGTTGCTTGGTGATGATTGATCATAGACTGATTCTTTTTGAGATTTGTTCAGTGTTCTACGGATTATAGATTCCCATTTCGGAATCGGACCTCGGTCTTCTGCTCCGAAAACGTTACCGGCGTTTAACGGAACCACTTCTTGAAACCTTTTAACAAAAAATAAATAAATTTAGATTTATCGAAAACAGAGGAAAAAAACAGAGGAGGTGACTTTTTTTATTATTTTACTTACCCGATGATGTAAATATCTGAAGGGTTATCAGTAGTAAGCCAATCGTCGATGTCGAGATCATCGGAGGGACGTTTTCCGGCGACGTTCCATGTAGCCACCGTCACTCTATTTAGTCAAATTTCAACGGCAACAAAAACGTGTGTGTGAGAGATGTTTCACTTTCACCGGGAGGAAAATAGAGAAATACCAGAAATACCCTTACTTGATGTCCTTGGTGTTGATGTATTGGACTCTCAAAGTCTCTGACTTGCCTCGCCGGTGTTTTCTCTGGTAACCCCTCACACCACCACCGTCTGAAGAATTATTTAAATAAAATGAGAAAAAAATATTATAATTAGTCTGTTATTTATTTGTTTATGAATTTTTGATTTAATTACTCGTTATAATTTTTTTTTTTAAAGGATATCAGAATCTTTGCCTGAGATTTTCTTGCCGTGATCAGCTTGGCTTCCCCGGCGACCTCCAAGGCTGTCTTCATAAGTTATACAGCAAGCATCAGCTACGTCTTTGACAGAACAAACTGAAAAGGGACCCAGAAAATCAGATAATAAAAGATAGAATAATTAAATTCTTGAGAATAATACAAATAGTTACATACCGTCGTCCTCGCTCTCAGTTTCTGTATCGACTTCGTCTTCGCTGAAGTCATAAACTTTAGGCTTTATGTTCAACCATTTGTTCATCACAATAGAAGGCCAAAACTTCTGTATTTCATCAGACAAATAAACAAAAATTCAGAATATTTACGAATATCAAACAATCAAAACATGAAAACAGAGAAAGAGCAAGCATCTTACTTCAGGGCGTCTCCCACGTCTTGCCTTCATCTTCTCCGACCAGACAAAATATTTGATATTTTTTCTTTTCTTTTCTCTCTTTGTTTCGAGGAGAATTTGAACAGAAGAAATGTCAGAGTTTTGATATTTATAATAGTGACAGAGAGTTAAAGAGGTCTTCACACGAGCAAGAACAAATAACAACGACAAGAAAAAAGTGGCAGTCAGAGAAGAAGACGTGTGAAGGCACAAAAAATATATTTTTAAAAATTAAAATTTTAAAAAGTTGTAATGATGAAAATTCTCTGATATTATTTTTGGGTTCGTTCTAAGTAAAAGCTATGGCTGTTATTCAAACCAAACTCCAACTTGCGAATCTACTTTTGCATAATAGTATTTTGATTAATTTGGGCAAGACATGTTATTGAGAACTATAAAGACTGTCTGATTTATTTCTCTATTTTTTTTTGTTCTCTCACGTGTTTCTTCCGGTTCTTGATTTATTTGAACCAAATTGGTTATCTTGGTTCGGTTTCACGATTGTACCAGATATTATCTTACCTAATCTTTTAATTATCTTTTCTATGATATTTTTGAAGATAGTGGGGCTTTACTCTGATAGTTTTTTTTTTCTTGGTATTAAAATAGTTTTGTAAAATATAATCAGTTTCACTTTAGTCACTGTTTTTCTTCTACCAAAAAACCTATTAAAATAATGAAAATCCAAACCAAAATCCGATTCAGCAATACTATCAGGATAATATTTAATAAACGTTCTTTCTGGTGATTAAAAAAAGTCAAAATGTCACTTTCTTAGGCAACAAATATATAAGCATTGGTTTATAACTTGCATGAATCTAGCTCCAGCTAATATTTTCAGCCATACAGTCGGCGAAAAGTCTGATTATTTATTTGACCAATGTTTGATTAAAATAATATTATACGATGACAATGAACTCTAACCAACGAATAAAAAACATGCGGATTATCCTTAGTTAGGGCTGGGCATTTTATTCGTTAAATTTGATTCGATTCGTTATTCGTCTCGATTCGATCCGAAAATTCTGGATATCTGTAAACTTTCGAATCAAAACAAATACTAAAAATTAATATCCGTTAAAATCGAAGCAAATAACAAATATTAAAATTTTGGAAAGCGGATATCCGATCCGATCTGGAAATATATAAATACATATATATTTTGATTATATTTAAAATTTTAAATGTATAAAATTATTAGTATAGCTTATGATTTGACTAATTATATTCAGATTATTACTTATATAAAAGTATTAGATAAAAAGAAGAGAAAAATTATGAAAATTATAAAACATCTTAAGTTTTGTGTTATTATAATTATTCACTTAAACTTTTAAAAATTATAAAATATGTAAATTCATTACTTCTTTACTTTTTATTTTATATATCATGCAAAAAATATTTTACAAAATAAATTTATATCAAAATTTTAAGATTATTTGTAATGAATTAGATATTCATAAATATTCGTAAATATCCGCAAATATCTATTTATTTTTCGGATATCCGTTTTTCTAGATATTCGTATTTTTTCGAAGCAAAGCAAATACCAAAATGAGATATCCGTGACATACGAAGCAAATCACAAATACCTTCGAAAACCCGGATATCCAATCCGTGCCCACCCCTATCCTTAGTTGTTTTCCGTGTGCTTAACTATAGTTAATAGTATTACAAATTATGAAAAATTACACGATTACAATCGACAATTCTATTTGTATTATGAGTATTCATGTTTGATCGTATTATTCTGATCTATCATAAAAGATTTATTTTTGCAATATTATTTACGCTATGATGAAAATATGTTGTAAATCCTTTTTTCACTTTTTGTAATATTTTAATGAACTATTGGTTAAACCATTGGATATACCTACTAAATATGGTTTAACTTATTCTCACTTTTATAAGTATTATTTTCTATAGTCTTTTAAATGTATACCGTATTATTCAGCATCAAATATATCAAAAATAAACTGTATCTCTAATTCCCAAAACATATGAATTTGATGGATATCTACTCTGCAGATAAGGCTAGTAATACAGAAGTCCAATATGTGAATATTCGAGCTATATTAAAATGTCAATTATTTCCGAAAGCGGATTTTAGTTTTATTTTGGTCTTAACTTACAGTGTTTACAATTAAGCACTAAATTTAACGTCACTAGATATCAATAATTAAATAGATCAAATTGACGCCCATGCAATGCAATTTGAACATAAAGGACGTAACGAGTCATTAGTAAAGTTCTTCTTGACCCCACTTAATTTACATAGTTTGGTTAATCAAATTGGATCTAATTAATTTATTAAGCAGTGGAGCTAAAAACAAAAAGACGACGATGGTTGACCATAAATAGTTACTGGGATATTTTCGTACCCTAATTTTTTTTTACTTTAATAAAAATGCTGTCTCAGGTTTACATTAGTTTTTTTGAAACTAAGGCTAGGTTTACATTAGGTTGCTTCTTATAAATCATGCTATTTTCGTTTGCTTGAAAGCTCGCTTATTAATTAATTACTAAAGTTACTATATATATCAATACGTAGATAGCAAAGCTACCATTGGCTCAACTATCTTAAATTTCATAAATGATTGTAGAAATCGTGTGATTATAAAAAGCTAACCTTTAACACAAGCAAAGCTACCATTGGCTCAACTATCTTAATTTCATAAATAATTTCAGAAGGAGTGATTATAAAAGCTAATCTTTAAAACAAGATATAAAATAAAAAACGAGTACGTAGTCTAAATTATTCAAGTCGGTTACTCGAAAATATTCAAAATGGGTGTTTTCTATCATGATAATATATTTGAAGTGATTAATATATTTTAACTTACCAAATCCAACACAAACATTAGATCCGATTGGTAGGCCGGTATAAAGGTACATTTGGACCACATAACCCGAATACGCACCCATATGCAAGGAAGCAATTATTCCTTAATTGTCTTTATTTTTATTAACTTGCAATTAATCTATTATCGTTATTAAAAAGATCGAATCGAATCATGCCGTACGAAAGTTTTTGGAGTTTTTTGAGTTACGTTTTGACAAAAAAAAAAAATAAAGAAGGTTTTATAACGTTGTCAATGTCAATTGCTTTTCCCAACGTCCCAATAGGACATCAACACGCAATTTATGCGAATAATCAACTTAGTAATATTATTGTTTTGTTTTATTCATTTTTAATAGACTGAAGTCATAACCACTCACAAATCATTACCCCAACCCCCAATTTTATGCACATAGTTCATCTAATAATATTTTTATATTAACCAGCTGATCGTAGTCAAGTGGTAAGAAAAAGAGACGAGACACTAACATGTTTCAATTTTGAATATTTGCTATGTAAAATAAGTTACAATGATTTCTTGTCACATAACATGGATATAGACTTATGCTTTCGAGCATTTGAATACCCAGAAAGAGAATCTATTCATGGATTACACTTCCCCTTTAAAATTAGTTTGAGTCTCGCTATGGGTCTGGAATATCCCTCGATTAATCAAAAAAAAAAATTCTTATATAAATATATATACCTTTTTGTTTGGCTAATCTTTCCAGGTTAAAAAGCATTGTAGTCATACTTTTTCATATATTTTTAAAAAAGAACTTTCAGGTTAATATTACTGAGATCAGATTGCAGATTGAGATAAATATATAAAAAAAATTGAATGTTAGCCTAACACTAAAATTCTATTTTTATGTGATTTTGACACAAAATCTTTCTTTAACCCAACACTAAAAATCATATTATTTTAGTGTAACAGAATAACTGTACACCAAATTTGATGTGATACTATTCACTAATTTTATTAGTAAAATATGCAATTAAATAAATGAAAAATAAAAATATAAGTACATATAATATTATAAAATAAATTTTATTATTAAGGTTGGTGTTGTGATTGAAAAATAACTTATTTTAGTGTTTAAACTACACTAAAATAGTATGGTTTTGAATTTTTTGATATTAAAATAATATTATGTATTGGAGATGCCCTTACATAATACAATTCCAACAGATCAGTTGCAACTTCATACTAAGAGTATCTGGTAACAATAAAAACAAAAAGATGGTTGATCTGACCTGTTTTGGAGGAGAAGAGAAGCAATTGCACAAAATCTCAACAAAACGCAAAGGAGTTTGTACGTCAAATGATTTGACTCAAACCTTCGAATATCTAATTTCTAAAGCATTTCTCGACAATCCAAAACGATTCAGAAGTCCATACAGATATATCACTGGGACGATCCTGCTGTTTCAGATTTTCATATCATACTTTTGAACTAAAATCCGATTTCGAGTCACCAATCGTTTTGTACGCTTCTCTCGAATGTCAATTACATCCAAAAGACAAAGGTGAGACGAGACTTGAAGATTTATGAATGTTGACTGAGAAAGGATGTTTGAATTGTTGATTAGTGTTATCCAAGGTGCGTTAGAGCGCATGATTAATCCGAATCCATGAATACTGCAGACCATAGAGAGATTAATTGGTAGTCTTCTCAAAGGACATGTCACCAAAATGGGATCATAGTTTGATTGCACCAAAGGAAGTTTAGCCAATACATGGCCGGATATGCCCTATAAGATTGTGGCTGACGAGTCACCCAACTTAAAAAAATATATGAACGTGTGTATGCATATTGATGATAATGGATATCTAATTGGTTGGTAGTAGATACAAATATGGCTATGTTTAAAATTTCATATCGATCAGTGGGCAAGTGCGAGTAATTTGATATTCACTTTTCTTCTTTTTCTTTTCAGGTGTAGTTTTAAATTGTTGTTGCATTGGTAGGCTTTTTCTGAAAATAAAAATTATATTATATTTGTGCTCTAGTTCAACTTATGATTTTATATCAAAACCTTTCAAATATTTGATTCAGTTTAATAAATATTTTTTACGATAAATTAATATTCAGTAAATTGATATGTTTTGAAAAACAGTTGAACACAAATTAATCCTAGATTTAAAGTTCAGGATAGACTTTTTTTTTTTTGAACAACGTTCAGGATAGACTATGGTGCCTCACTCTGCTTTTGTTTGGAAATCATTTGCATTCAACAAATAATAACCTGCAATTGGCTTTTTATAGCTCAAATGTTCAAGAGTCG